CATGGCACTGATAGCCTGGTAGGACATGCCTGGTAGCCCTGGGATAACCGTGGGGCCGTTATCCCCGCCGCACAGTGGAGTCTACGATGCCCAGAGAGTTAAGACACTTGCTTCATGGGGCGCCTGGGTGGCTCAGTCGGTTGAGCGTCCAACTTCGGCTCAGGTCATGATCTCGCGGTCCGTGAGTTCGAGCCCCGCGTCGGGCTCTGGGCTGACAGCTCAGAGCCTGGAGCCTGTTTCAGATTCTGTGTCTCCCTCTCTCTCTGACCCTCCCCCATTCATGCTCTATCTCTCTCTGTCTCAAAAATAAATAAACGTTAAAAAAAAAAAATTAAAAAAAAAAAAAAAAGACACTTGCTTCAGGGCACACAGCTAGGCAGTGGCAGAGTTGTAGTTTGAACCCAGGCTGCCTAGCTCTAGAGTCGGTGCTCCTAAACAATTCCATAGCTGCCCCTGAGCTAGTAGCTGTAGAACTGTGACTTGTGAGACGTGACAGGAGAGAAGCTGGCTGGACACAGGGAGAGCCAGGGACAAGGGGGCTTAGCTGGAGTGTTCAGGAAAGCCTCTCTGACTAGGCGAGGGGTGAGGATCGTATGCCACCTAGAACAAAGTTGCAGGGAAGAACGTTCTAGGCAGAGAGAACAGAACGCGCAAACGTACCGAGACAGGCAAGAAGGTGACTTCTGCAAGGAATGATGAGCAGGGCCGGGCAGGGGTAGGAGTTGTGGGAGCATGGGGTGCCTCTCTCCACTGGCTTGTCCCGTGGGTCAGTGGCTGGTTTCCTTGCTCTCTGCCCGTGGTACCGCTGGGAGACTGGAGAGGGCCGAGGACACACGGATGCCTGGCACTGTGCCCACCTGTGCCAGAGGCCCTGCAAGCTGAGGCTGGCAGGCTTGTTGTGGTTTGCTGGTGGCGGCCTGTGAACCTCTGTTTGTTGTGGTGACGGTCGTCACATTGAGTCCACACCTGGGCAGCCCCGGGCTGCCTGGCCATCTGGGCCCAGCGCTGACGTGTGTGACGGACGGTGGCAGCGGCTGGTGGCCCGCGGCCTGTTTCTGTGCTGTCGCCATGGCGGCCTCACCCACTCCCTCTGACAGCTGGCGCAGCTGCCCCACAGAGTGCGTGTCCCTCCGGACGCAGGCCCGGTGGCCCTGACGGGCAGGTAGGTGAGAAGGCCAGGACCACACTCCACCCACCCACCCACCCAGGTGCTTGGAGCAGCCTGTGCCCTCAGGCCCGCCTGGGAGGAGGGGCAGACGGGAGCTCTTGTTTACTCCTCCCCCACCCAGCCTGGCCGCAGGCATAGAAGCTCCCTTGACAGCTAGGGAAACTGAGGCCTGGCGAGGGGGCGCCCATCTCACGGCATTCACAGATCCTGGGGTGGGGCATGGGTGCGTAGGCTAGAGCCAAACAAGGGGCAAGCAGGGCCAAGAGCCGAGGTGGTACGGGCACGGGTGCGGCCGTGAGCCCAAGGAGACCCCCGAGTGGGTTGTTCATTTTTAACACAAAATGTTTTACTTTCTGGTTACAAAAAGTTTCAAGTGAAGAATTAAAGCCACCCATAATTCTCATTACGTAGGGTAGATGTTTTCACCTCCGTGGACAGGCTTATAATAACTATAGTGACCATTTAGGGGCCATCACATAGGCCCACCTACTGAGTGCCCAGCCTGTGCCAGTTACCTTGCAGACGAGCCTGCCTCGCAGGGGGCGCGTGTTCTTGGCGCTCCTGCTTCAGAGACGCGGGCCTTGAGGGGCGGAGACGGGTCCAGGGCCGCGTCTCAGCAGGGGCGCCGAGCTGGGCTCGGGCAGAGGCTGTCGCGTGCCAAGTGCGGTGTCAGCAGCACCGGCCTGGCCAGTGGCCTCCTCAGGCCTCGGGCCCCGCGGCCCCGGGCCCCTGCTCCCACGCCAGAGGTCAGCAGTGATGTAGCCTGACCCGGGGCCAGCACAGAAGTCTGACCCAGAAGGCCCCGCACGCCTCGGCTTTTCTGTTCTCCTCTGCCATGTGGAATGTGCTGGGCCCAGGGAAACCCAGGGAAGCCTCTAGATTTCTGCTCAGCACAAGATGGCACAGTGCTCCCCACGGGGGAGTGCAGCCTGCCAGTTCCTCCCCAGCAGGACGGGGTGCCACGAGCCCCTTGTGGTCTCCAAGTGGACCAATCCAGAAGGGAGTCCCGGCTGGTCCCCTGACTCCCCGTGCAGCATCTTCGCTTCTGAGCCTCGGTTTCCTCAAGTAAAGCAAGGCTGAGAATTCCTCCCTCTAGGGTTGTTGGAACATCTGGAATAGATGGGAAGGGCCACTTGTGTGACCTTGACTGCTGCTGCCGCTGGACAAGAGAGAGACCCACCCAGCCCCTGACAACTGGCCACGCTGCCGCATCTGTAAAATGGGATGAAAACACCTCCCACATGTGCTCATGATGAGGTGACTGGTTTATCCCAGCGACAGGGAGCAGAGGGTGGATCCCAGTGAATACTATTTGTAGAAGCTTGTTTCCTGAGGCCTCCGGGTTGGTCCTGGACAGGCCCGGGCTGGGGGGTCAAGCAGCTCTGATGGCAGCAGGGTGCTGTTCTGAGTGCCTTCTGTGATGACTACCGAGCAGGCGCTTTCTTTATCCCCATTGTCTGGATGAGGATACTGAGGCTCAGAGAAGCATGGGGACTTGCCCAAGGGCACCCAGCCTCTAAGGGGCAAAGGCGGGATTTGAATTTGAGGCCAGAATGGAGTGAGCAGGCTCACTCCCGGCTCTGGGGTTGAGGACTGTGCCGTTGGGGTACTGACTTAGTAGTCGGCATGGGGGTTCCCTGGGTCAGGGCCTTTGGCTGGGACTGTGGCTCTGTCGCCGGCTGCTGGGGCACAGGCAGACCTGCCTCGCAGCCAGGCGTCTGGAGGGCCTTGGGCGGCTTCTGTGGGGAGGCTGCAGGTGTCTGCCTCCGTCACCCCCAGTGCTCTGCCCACCCACCCCGGTGCACACACTGGGACCCCCATCCCCGCTGGGGCCGTTCTACTTCTCGGTGGTTCATCTGAGGACAGCTGAGGCTGGGCCTCGTCTTCCCTATCCCATCACTTGACAGTGGCGTCAGGCTCTGCCCGGCTGCGGGGTCCAGGCCCCCAAGCCAGGCTCCCAGATGGGGCACTGAGGCCGCACGGCACGGTGTGGTGGAGGCTGGATCTGAACCCAGTTCAGAGGTGGCTTCAGGGGCTCAGGTCTCCTAGTGCTCTGTGCACACTCACAGCAGGTGGTGCAGGGCCTCGGGCAGTTCCCAGTTCCTTGGGTGGCCAGTGGTATGTCTGCGGCGGCCTCGTGAGGCTGGCGGGGAGGGCAGAGCCGACGGCAGAGCATTGCCTGGGAGGTGAGAAGGATACTCCTGCAGGAGCTGGCAAGTGCCCTGGGAGGTTTTGGGGAGTCACGGTCAAGTCCCAGCTCTGCCACCCACATCCTCGTGGCCTGGACAAGTTACTTCTCTGCTCTGGAAAATGGAGCTCCTTGTCGCGGTTGCCTGGGAGCAGGGGCTGGGGACTCAGGCCTGCCTCGGTCCTCACCGCTGGGCTCCCTGAGGTCCCTCAACTTGCTTTCCTGACTGTGAGGTGGTGTTGTACCTTTTTGGAGGGTGGCCTAATGAAGCTTCTTCCGCTGTGCCCAGCTCCAGCCGCGTCCAGCGCTCCAGAATGTGGATTCTTCCTTAGGGCACCCGGCCACGCTCTCTCAGCTAGCCCGGGAGACGTGGGCATTGGGCCTTGGAGAAGGGAAGCCCCTCTCCCGTCCTTAGGGGTGAGGGTGAGGGAGGTGCGGCCTCGGGACTCAAGTCCTGCCCGGAGCCCTCGGGAGGGAAGTGGGCTTCCTGGGGTGCTCTTGGAGGGGGCAGCAAAGGCAAGAACTTCGTGGGGGTGGGACAGAAATAGGCACCAGGCTTCGGCCTGCAACTCCCCAGCCTGCGTCCGCTCGGGCTTCCCAGCCATCCCTGAGGTGGGCGTCTGCGTTCCAAGGTGACAGATGGGGAAATTGAGGCTCAGAAGAGGGGTGGGCAGCAGAGCTGGGATCTGAAAGGAGTTCTCTCTGCCTCAGATGCTGCCCCTGCCCCCGCCCCCCCAAGGTTAGCAGCACAAGTGGGAGAAGGAGGCTGTATCTGTTTCTTAGCACCGCAGGCTGGGGGCTTCACAGAAACTTCCTGTCTGACAGTTCTGGAGGCCGGAAGTCCCATCAAGGTGTTGGCTGGCTGGTTCCTTCTGAGGCTGTGAGGGAGGGATCCGTTCCGGGCCTCTCTCCTAGCTTCTGGTATCCTTAGGAGCTCCTTGGCTTGCAGGTGGCCATCTTCTCCCTGTGTCTCCTCACCTTCCAGCTGTGCGTGCCTGTCTCTGGGTCCAAATTTCCTTTTCGTAAGGACCCCAGTCATACTGGATTACAGCCCACCCTCATGACCTCGTTTTAACTTAATCGTCTCTGTAAAGACCCCTTCTCCAAATAGGGTGACACTCTTAGGACTTCAGCACATGAATTTTCAGGGGGCGCAGCTCAACCCTTACCAGAAACTTTAGGACACAGGGCTTCCGCCTAGGGTGGGAGCACCGGGCCCCGGCAGAAACCTCAGCTGCTCAGACCCGGCCCTACTCCCTGAGGCGGGTGCTCAGTGGCAGCCTGATGTGTGGCCCGTGGGACAGATCTGCAATGGAGCCACCTTCCCGGGAGGCGTACTCTGGAGGCGCCATCTTTTCTCGGGTGGTTTAGGGGGGTGATTGCCCGGGGCCCAGTGGGACCTGAGGGCCACTGCCGGGAGGGCCAGTGGGGCTTGAGCCAGGAACATCCCGTAGGTGCCCGGAGGTTCCAGGCCTCATCAGGGCCCTGCCCACACTGACCCTCAGCATCTGTGTCTGCACCTGGGGCCCCTTGAGGGCCGGAGGCCTGAGCCGTTTCTGTCCCCAGGTTTGTCCGGCCTAGGGAGTGCCCAGGGGATGTTGATAGACTGAGCTGACCAGATGCCTGACCTTCTCTCCATCTTAGGGAAATCCAAGAGGAAGAAGGATTTACGGATATCCTGCATGTCCAAGCCGCCTGTACCCAACCCTACGTAAGTCCGCCTCAGCTTTTCCCCTGGCTCAGCCTGGAGAGGGCCCAGGGGAGGGGAGCAAGCAGGGGGCAGCGTGTCCTGGACGGCCCTGGTGGGGTGGCCACAGGGCTCACAGGCGTCGTCGCACATCCGCTCTGTGTCCCCTTCTCACTCATCTCAGAGATGGGAAGGCGAGGCTCCGGCCACGTCTGTGTGGCCACGCCTTGTGTCTGGTACGGCAGATGCTCAGTGACTGAGACTAGGTGCCTTGAGGAGCACCACCTCCCTCACGCTGCCTCCCGGGGACAGGACGCGTCTCTGGCTCCCGTGCCAGCCTGGTTTGCTCCTTCTCTCGGGGAAGGATGTGGTTCTCTCCGAGGCTCATGGGGTGTGCTTCCTCCCCACAGACCCCCCCGGAACCTGGACTCTCGGACCTTCATCACCATCGGAGACAGGGTAGGTGCTGGCTGCCTACTTGGGGTGGGGCCTTCATGTCTCTGAATCTCGGTGTCTTCATGACAGATGAGCCCACGCTGACTCTGTAGGGCCTCTTGGAGGTGGCTCTGGGAGGTGGAAGGAGCTGGGCTTGGGAGAGGAGCCTCACGCTCCAGATGGTGGCCGTGTGGCCCTGGGCTGCCCACTTTCAGACCGCCACATTTGGACTGGGGCGAGTCGGCCTGCCTCGTGGAGCCCTGGAGAGCCAGAGCAGTGTGAAGCTTCCTGATCTCAGAGTTTGGGTCGTGGGGCCGCCTGCGTCCACCTCACCTGTGGGAATGGTGTGTGGAACGTGCAGACTCCTGGCTCTGTCCTCAGAACCAGCACCTGGGAACCTGCATTTCACATGCACCTCCTGATGCATGGACACCAGTGGTTGAGATCCTGGCTCAGGGATGGTGCCTCACCCGCAGGAGATACCGAGGGTCTCCAGGCAGAGACCCCACTGTAGAGGCCTCCCCTTGGCTGACAGCCTCTCCCAGGCTAATTTTCCTTCTCTGACACTTGTCACTGGGTGCTGTCCCGTTCATCTAGTTGTTTATTCCTTTCTTGTCTGCCCTACAGTAGAGGGCCTAGGGCCACACTGCTCACTGTGAGGGCAAGACCTTGTTCTGTTCTCTCCAGGAGCTCACACATAGTAGGTGCTCAGTAAATACTGGTTGAATGAAAGATTTAGTCCTACCACCTGAATGGGCTAGGGGACAAGAGGGAAGGGCGTCTCTTGAGCTCTCTGTGCCTGCCGGGGGCATTTCATAGGTGGTCTTACTTATACCTTGTGGAAGCCTTTGGACGTTGGGGCTATGCCTGTTCTGTAGAGGGTGACGTGAGTCTGAGAAGTTCAGTGACTTGCCCCAGGTCACACGGCAGAAGGTGGTTAGTATAGGATTTGAGCCCAGGTCTCACTGGCTGTTTTTAATTTCTGCTGCCCCAGCTCTCTCTACTGGGCAAGGTGCGAGGGTAGGCTCCTAACTTGTGGTTTCTCTCATTTCTGTCCCCCAAGAATTTTGAGGTGGAGGCCGATGACCTGGTGACCATCTCAGAGCTGGGCCGTGGAGCCTATGGGGTGGTGGAGAAGGTGCGGCATGCCCAGAGTGGCACCATCATGGCCGTTAAGGTAAGCGGGGCCCCAGCCAGTCAGGGAGGGGACACTTGGGAGGCTTCCTGGAGGAGGCATGGGGGGCTGAGCCTTGAAGGGGAGGCTGAGGGCACCCCTTGAAGCTCCTTGAAGGGTTGGTGGTGTGGTCGCCCTCTGACGTGTGGCGCCTGAACCGTAACCCTCTCTTCCTGCAGCGGATCCGGGCCACTGTGAACTCACAGGAGCAGAAGCGTCTGCTCATGGACTTGGACATCAACATGCGCACAGTCGACTGCTTCTACACTGTCACCTTCTATGGGGCCCTCTTCAGAGAGGTGCGGCCCTGGTGGGAGGGTGGGAGGTGGGTGCCAGGGTACGCTGCCCCACCCCCACCTCTCTTCTGCACACCTGCCCCACTCCGTCTAGCCTGCGGTCCGCTGTTGCTCATGCTGGGCCCCCAGCAGACACTTGCTGAGCGCCCCTGGGTGCCAGGTGCCAGGCACAAGAGTGAGATGGTACATGCTGGGTCTTGAGAGCTCAGGCCCAGAGGCCAAACTGCCTGGCTCCCCTGCTTCCTGCCTCAGTTTCCTTGCCTGTGAAATGAGGCCAGTAATTGTGTCCACCTGGAAAGGTTGCATGGGTTTGAAGTGATGTGGCCCAGGGCCTGGCACTCACTCTGCCTGTGTGCTTCACCGGCCTCCAGGCTGGCAGGGCGGGGCTCCAGGTAGGGGCGGTCATGGAGGTATGCGAGGGTCCGACTCTTAGTCTGTGGGAAGGTCTGCATGTGGGATGAGAGAGGGGTCAGGGTGATGCCATGGCGGAAGGATGGGCTCCCGCGGGATGCTCCCTGACCGTCTACTGGGTTCCCAGTTTTCCTGGGTGCGGTGGACCCATTTGTGAGTCAGCCCCTCATTATCCACCTGTCTGATTGGCTCAGCACCTGCTGAGTGCCAGGTGCAGGCTGGTCATCCCCTTGCTGCCGGGGGGAAGGACACACACTTGGGCCTCACTGCACGTTGGGTCAGAGTTGGCAGGGAGGCACGGGGTCCTGTGGGTACCCCAAGGAGATGCCATACCTAGTCTTCCCAGAAGGCTGTCCTGAAAGATAGGTGGGCGTTTGTGGCAACAGGGCGTGGGGGAGGCAAGGCTTTGCAGGAGAAGAAGGGAACCGTCCATCAAGGCCAGAGCTGGGGTGACCTATGCGTGTTGGGGGCCGCAGTGGCTGAGGTCAGGAGGGGTCTGCAGGGCAGGGTCATGGAGCTGAGCTGCAGCCAGATCCTGAGAGCCCTTGTTGGGAGGAGCATAATTAGGTGTGTGTTTCAGTCACTTCTTTCTAGAAAACTGCCATGGAATTAGGGATCAGATCGGGGAGACCAGAGGCAAAAGAGGTGGGCAAGGCTGGTGGGTATACTACCTACCTAGTAGTGTGGACAAGCATGGAAGGTGGAGAAGCAGAAGCTGAAAGATTTTGGGGGCAGAAAGGGTGGAGCTGGGAGCTCAGTAAATCTTTGTGGGCTGAGGTGGGCGGGCAGACGTGTCTGTAGGAAGGTCTGACCGGCATGGGGGAGGCAGGCGTGTGCTGACGCTGGCACCAGGGCGGGCTGTCCAGGCCCAGGTGCAGCCTCAGGTAACCCAGGCTGACCTCCAGGTGTCCTTCCACAGGGAGATGTGTGGATCTGCATGGAGCTCATGGACACATCCCTGGACAAGTTCTACCGGAAAGTGCTCGATAAAAACATGACCATTCCAGAGGACATCCTGGGGGAAATTGCTGTGTCTGTAAGTAATTGCCTCAGGCTTGGGTGGGGCTGGGGGGGGTCCCAGTTACATAGCCAGAGGCCCCAGCCCTGCCCCAGTAGTCACAGAGCTCAGCCTAATGGTGATAACTTGGGCATAGGTGGGTCCCCAGTGTGGCCCTGAACCTGGGTAACTGCCCTCCAGGGACCCAGCTCTCCCACTCTGGGTCAGAGCCTTTTTGCGAGGAGACCCCAGAGGCTGGGGCTCCCAGAGCCACACAGATTTGGAAGATCTCAGGCCTCTAGGCCTTTGCGTACAGGCCTGAGCTTTCTAGACCAATTTATTATCATTATTATTACTATTATTAACGTTTATTTATTTTTGAGAGAGAGAGAGACAGAGTGTGAGCAGGAGAGGGGCAGAGAGGAAGGGAGACACTGCCCTTCTGAAGCAGGCTCCAGGCTCTGAACTATCAGCACAGAGCCTGACACAGAGCTTGAACTCATGAACCATGAGATCATGACCTGAACTGAAGGCGGATGCCTAACCAGCTGAGCCACCCAGATTCCCCAAGACCATTTTTAAAGAAAGAACTTAGTACTTGCAACTTCCTCATGCCAAAAGATGCCCTGAGACAGCTCATAGAGGTACAAGCTAAGTTGGGGGGAAGGTTAGCATTCAGAATGTTCACCTTTTGAGGTTGAACATTTCTAAAGGAGGGTAGCAACCCTGGGTTTGAGCATCCTGGCAGCCAGAGGGAAAAAGGGTGCTTCTCGATCTTGACTACATCTAGGAACGTTAAAACCTACCCAGGCCAGGGTAGTGAGTCAGAATCTTTGGGGTAATTGTCCAGGCTTCCCCTGTGTCTCCCTGAGGGGAATGGCTTAAGCATATAGCCCACTGGCTCTCAGGAAGGAGAGGGGCCAGGGATGCTGCAGAAGGGCTAGGTTTTACCCCATAGCCTGGTAGGAGGTGTTGACAGCCTCTTGGAGGGGTCACAGGTCTGGGACTCTGAGGGTCTTGGGTACATCATTTCCCTGGTAAAGGCTTGGTTGGGCCTGAGACCTTGGCCCTCTAGGGTTGGTGGGAGAAAAGTAGGAAGCTGGGTGTGCCTGCACCAAGAAGGCCATGACAGCGGGGTGAATGGGGGGATGGGAGCAAGAGCCTGGGGTAGCGAGGGGCTGGGCCATGTGTATGGGGGAGGGAGACAGGTGGACGAGGGTAGGGGTCTTCCTGGTCTGTCATTGTCGATGCCACCGGAAGTAACACAGTCTGTCTTTCCTCCTCCTGCGCCGATGCCAGATCGTCCGGGCACTGGAGCATCTGCACAGCAAGCTGTCCGTGATCCACAGAGGTCAGTGCCTGCCACTCACCATCCGGGAGGGGCCTGCAGGCTACTCATACACGGTCCCGCCCAGTCCTGCAAGGAGGGTGGACCTTCCCCTTTTCCAAGATGAGCCACCTTCTCAGGTGATAGGTAGTCATGTGCCCATTGGGGTCAGGAGCTGAGCCTGCTTCCCAGTCCAGGCCACTGTCAACCTCTCCAAACCATTTTCCTTGGGTTCCGTGCCCCCCCCCCCCCCCCCCCCCCCC